GATATAATTACAGTATTTTTGTTAGTTTTGTTTTGTGCGTTTGTATTTATACAAAATGTCTTTAGGCTACTGTTTATGTACGTTTTACGGTCCATGAAAAAACGATATCTTACTCGCACTGACTGACAGATCCGAAGCGTGCGCACAAAGACGCCTCAGAGAGAGCGCGATCCCGATATACACATACACAGAATTACAGGGATTTTAAAATATGTCTTGGCGAGTATTCACGCAAACATTATCTGTTAGGCTATGTCTTATGTGAACGTTTGGTTAACTGTTGGGTAAAATTATTTTACATCTGTGCGGTACAGTAGGTCTTAATATATAGGCTGTCAGTTTCATTAATGTTAATCAAACAATTGTGGTATTGAGGGGAAAAATGTTGAAAATATATTTTTCCTATAGATGTATAGGAAATAACCTTTATTTAACCAGGAGAGAAAACCAAATATTTGGTTTTGACTTGGTGTGTGCCAAATGTGGTGGTATTACCAGGGATTTCGAGGTATGGTTGCTTGCTAGGTGACTTTGTTTTGGAACCTTCACAAAACTTTAACTCGATTTTTCTAAAACTTGACTTTGCTGACTCTATCGACTTCAAACAGGTGCAGCTCAGTAATTTTTTGTTTGATTTAACAAATCATACATCATTCATTTGGAAGATTCTTTTAATAGAGAATGTGAAAACAACAATAAGTTCTTTTGAAAATTTGCTCATTGCGACTCATTTTGTCAGCACGGTTCACATATTGTTACTTTTTACCATGCAATGAGGTCCCACGCATAGTTACCCGTGGTTATCGTGATCTACAAATGTATGACACTATTTAAGACCAATGGTTAATTTTCAATAAGAGTAGATACAGTCAGAATATTTAAATTTTACATTATAAAAATCAGGTTAATAAAATTGACAGATGTTACTGTTTTTGTGAATGAAATGCATTTATATCCGCTTCCCAACTCAAGCACAAGCTACTGTCAACTTCAGCTTATGTCAAATGTGCATTTCTAAGAGACAAAACATGTAATATTTTTAAAGGCCTATAATATGTGCAGGACAACCAAATCAGGAGCTGCTGCCACCATCTGCAGAACTCAAATGTTAGTCTATAGAGCCCTGAGTTCTGTAAAACAAAAGCTAGAAATACTCTGACCATACGGTCACAAATAAGCCAGAATTGGGAATCACTTCCTACAAGTCAGGACCTGTACAGACAGGTGAGAGTAGGCTGGTCACCTGCACTTGTGGTAACCATGCTAACAAAGACAGGTCCCATGCTTGTTTGTTCAGCCCTCACCTCGGGCTAACCCAGGTGCTGTGCTACCAAACCACCTCCAGTCCCTAGTGACTGATGGAGATACAAGAGATGATACTGTTTCAATGAGCTTCTAAAGTGTGTTTGAACAAGAATAAGTGGATTTTAATGAGGCGAATACACATTTATGCTTTAATAAACCTCATGCAGATTTACAAATGACATATTGTCAAAACAAGAGCGTTGCTCCCATCGCTTTGTACTTTTTTTCTGTTGAAGAAGATTATTCAGGCAGTGATCTCTGATCTGAGTCCAAGACTCACCCAACAGCAAATTAACTATAGAGAAAGCAAGATAGACAGATAGATGAATTAGCTACACTACAGTTGAAGACAGAGTGAGTTTATTTATAGTCATTTATTGAGCTCCTGAATGATTTAGTCAATCAGCACTCAATTATTTTACACGCTGTCCTTCTCATGCTAAAACCCCTTTTTAATCCCTTGAAATTCTTCATGTGACTAACACTAAATTAGTGCACTCTGACAGCATGATGCATCCATCGCTGAGTTGTAAGCAATGAATTTCACTGTGCTTCTTATCTATGTGCTGGACATCTCAAACAGCAAATCAAACTAACCTGGCACAACAACCTATTGTTTTGCTTCCATGCTCCAATACACAATTTTATGAAGATGGAGATGAATCAAAGACCTAGTTTTGTTTGGACCGGGAGATTATCATCTTCAGGTTAAACGGGTCATATCATGCATTTTTTATATATTTGTTTGCACCAAAACAAAAATTGCACAAAAATTGTGTTTTTCTTGAGCACCCTCTCGTTAAGTTTTAGAATGAAATGGTCCATTTTGTGTTGCTGCAGCTTTAAGAAACCTCCCCTTTGCATGTGAAATGAGCAACAGTGCTGACTGAGTGATAATAATAATAATAATTCATTACATTTATATAGCGCTTTTCTAGGCACTCAAAGCACTTCACATGGAAGGGGGAATCTCCTCAACCACCACCAATGTGCAGCATCCACTTGGATAATGCGACGGCAGCCATAGTGCGCCAGAACGCTCACCACACACCAGCTTACTGGTGGAGAGGAGACAGAGTGATGAAGCCAATCAGTGTATATATATATATATATATATATATATATATATATGGGGATGATTAGGAGGCCATGATGGACAGAGGCCACTGGGCAAATTTGTCCTATGGTACTCTCCCAACAGTTTGCTGTCATGTCAAATATAGTTTTTAACTCCTACATCCTTTATAAGCAGCCACAACATTGTGACTGATTCATAAAACAATCTGCGTTGAAAACTGAAAAGTGCCTTTAAACTGGTAAGATCAGAGTGAAGTGATCAGGCCTTGTTAAAAAATAAACTTCAGTGCATAAAGATGAGCAGTTGTGCGATATTGAATTCATCCCTATGCAACTGTGACGATGTCACAAAGCTGCAGAAGTTATTAACGGGGCACTTTTGTAATTTTGTTTTAAATGTTATGTTCAAGATGTCATAATGTTTTGAACCTAAAAACAATGTTTTACAGTCCAAATATATCAAGCACTTCTTAAAAGATGAAAGAATATTTGATTCCTCATGATATTACCTCTTTAAAGTGTCATTCAAGATTAAAATTTCATGGTTTAAATACCAGTCTATTCCTCATACAAAGCCATCATATGGCTTCAAAAGACTTGGAATAATGTTTATGATGGTTTCATGGTAGTTTTTTGTTCTTTTTTGGGCCTGACAGCCTCTGGTCCCCTTCCACTTTCGACCTTATGACTGAGAGCAGTTCATACATTCTGCTAAACATATCAAAATTCATACAGATTTGAAACAATATAAGGGTAAGTAAATGTAAATTTTGCACTTTACAATAGGTTAACTATCCCTTTAAGAGCACGCACTGCATTCAGTTATAAAGCTCTGTAAGAGCAACATAACTGCATGTAGGCTACATGTCACCTATGATGTCTAGTGTGCCTGTCTCTCAGCAGTATTACATCATCGTAGAGCGCACGGTTGCAGCACGTTTCTTACTTCCTTATTGCACTCATTCATTCATTCTTCAATGTCATTTCACAACACTACAGGACCTGCAAACAAAATCTCTCCCAATCTGATTGAGCTACAATGTGGGTCACATACAGGCCTTCACTCATGCTTGAAACTCAGCTAATGTGTAACAGGGGCTTTCAACTCGCTTGTGGACGTGGGAGGAGGAAAAAAAAGTGTGCAATTTCCAGAAAGTGCTAACTGACTTCCTCGTGTCTGGGGCTGGTCAAAAGAGATGAGCTGTTATTACATCATGGAGCTGTGCTGAGGTGATCTGTGAACTCTGACTGCTTTTGTATCATACATAATCTATGGAAACTGTAAGACAAGTTAAAAGCTGACAGAGGACTGACATAATTTCAAGGAGGTTGAACATTAGGTCACTGCTGAAAAATCAAACCAGGTTCCTGGATTAATGGATTAATGGATAATAGCTTCACATAAGGTCTGTCTACAATGTGGAGCAGGGAGAAACCATCTAAAACAACCAGCGTGTAAATAAACAAAGACATCACCACAAACCTAGAAACACAACAGAGAATAATGCAGCAGAACCATAGACTGTAAAAAAAGAACACAGAGCCCATTATATATATGTTTTCAAATGCAGAGTAATAAAAATACCTCCACACCTTTGCTTGTACTGGTATTTGGGTAGTTAAATAACACTACAGACTGTCAGAAGTTTGTGTCTTTAGCTTGACAATGGGGCAGTACCAAAGGGACAACGTTGTACCAAAAAGGTGCATATTGGTACCTACTACAATGAACATTTTAGGGTAAGGTACAAAGATGTTCCTTTAACCTTGTAAAGCATGACATATGAAATAATAGGCAGACAAATAACATTTTTGAAATGGAAGAAATCATCGAACCTTTAGACAAAATAAAAAAAAGAAAATCTAAAAAAGTTTGCATTTGTGTTTTATGTTATGTGTCATAATTGATACACGAGGTCTTCATGGCCCATGAGTTGCTTTAGTCCAGTAATTGTTCATCTCGAAATATTAACAACAATATAAAAGTTACTCATATTTAATTTAGAAAATCAGTAAAGCTTTCACAACAAAAATATGTGTAGCCTACTACTACAACTGAAGATGTATTTTTGTACAAGGCATTTTATACATATTTAAAATTGCCTACTGTAAGGTATTTTACTTGCTAAAAGTACAAACTATCAATCAGAGGGCAGAAGGCATGTAGAAGATTCAACAGATTTTTCAGCAAACTTTTGATCATATTGATAATTTAGAGGCTGTAGGATTCATGTATCAAAAATGAGTCTTAAATGAGTTAAAATGGTCATTTTTGCACCTTTTTCTGAGAGTGTACGGTCTCTCCAAATCTCGCTTTACATTTAAACTATTTATATGGCAGGTGCGAACTATCCACGTTGACTTGCATGTCACTTATAACAGGTTCAGTCCCCTTGATGCAACTGACGTTAGTGTCTTGATCAAGGACACACAATGGGGGCACCACATAGCCTACATCAAACATCAGCCTTACTTAAGCCAAACAGCTACATTTTAAAAATTAAACCACAACACTCCACTTTCTGCTGTATAAAGAATCGTCAGAGTCATAAACATGATTCGGTCTCGTCCAGCTTCGGTGTCTTTAGTTCTCTATTTAAAGGCTTTAATCAGCTTACCAGATTGAAGATCGTCTCCACAATGTCCCGATTGGAGACTTCGCCAGCCTCCAGGAGCCCCGCCAGCACGGCGAACTTCATGCGGATTCCTCTGATGGGGATCCCAACAGCGCTGTCACCTGCGCTCGCCATGACGGAGTCAGGTGAGAGGCGAACAGGTGAAACACCTGTTTGACCCTACCGCCGAATTAAATCTATGGGAAAATACACGGAATATATCGCTCTCGTTAAGTTGACAGCTGCGGAGAACTGGTCCTGGTCTCCATTCACAGCCAGTTTATCCTTTAGTTTCTCGCGCTCTCGGCAGTGTGTCGGTTGATGTCACTACACCTGACTAACAGGAATTATTCTACGGTAGAGAGGGAGAGCAGCATTAAACTTGACAAAAGAATGACGAAATCGCGTTGTGGTGAGCCGAGATAAGAAACCCAAAGCTTGCCAATCTCCGCCGGACTAATAAAGGAAAGACATTTAAACAAAATTGTCATTTAAGTGTTTGCGAGTGTTTGTCAAACAGGAAACAGCGGTGATGAAGAGATTCCGCGCAGGTAACGTTAACGTTAGACGTACCGATAAGAACAAGACGCAAAAAACTACAAAATATAAAGCAAGGAACGTCCGACATTGGCTCTCGGTGGGCCCTCCAAAGAGAAGACAATCCTCTTGCTCCCTGTGGGAACTGTTGGAGTGAAGTTTCAGCGGTAACCCACTTTACAGCGCCATCTCTTCCTGAATCAGCTCCTAGTCCGCTCCGTCTCCGCCATGACAGTGGAGCTGCGTGTGAGAGAGCTGCGCATGCGCAGTGCGCACAGAGAGCTGAGAAGGGGGGGCTCAGGTGTGTCAGGTACAAAGAATCTATAACTTATAAGGACAAATGTACACTTTATTCTGAAGATCTCGAGTCATGGACGCTCTGTTGTGGATGTGATTTACGATAGTGCTCTGCTGCGAGAATAACATGGAGATATCTGCAGGAGAGAATAATACAAGTCTAGCATATTCATCAGAAACGAGGTTTATACCAAGATTTTAATGTTGATTTGTTTATAATCAAAAGCATACATGCACAATATAATCTTTTCACTTGCACCTCACTTGTCTAACAAACAATTTACAAATAAATTAAAAGATTGCGAGTGATATTTGCATGATATTTTCTACTTAAAAATATAATTATTTATTTACCCTCATGTTGCTCCATATATAGATCCATCCATATATATATATTAAAAAAATTCTCAGTCTCATACAATAAAAGCCAGTGGTGTTGTTTGGGCCTAATATTCTTCTAAATCTCTTTGTGTTCTGCAGAAGAAAAAAATGCATACAGGTTTGGAACGACATGAAGTTGAGTAAATAATGACAGAATTGGGTTAATTATCATTTAAAGTCAGCATGAAATGAAAATGCACCCTATTCACCTTCATCTACTTTGTAAATGCATATTATAGATCTTATTGTGAACTATGTATCCATATATAAATGTGTATTTAGTCTGCTTAAATCCCGTCCTTACACTACTTACTGCAAGCTCACATTCACATCTCAAAATCCAATCAACAATCAATAAATAGAACTAAGTCCCCGCCCTACATTTTTTTTTTTTTAATAATGTGTTACATTCATGTCACAATAAAGACAAAAAAAATCTGTTACTACATCCGTTTCACTGCAACTTTAAAGAATAATTATTTTTTTCTCCTATTTAAATATTTGTGAGATACTCAAGGTAGTTTAGATTTACTGTGTACAATTCTTTAATTTTTCACCTACAGAGGGTTAAAGCACATAACAAAGCACATATAGCATATCATTATTGTGTTGCATGTAAACTTTAATATTTACTTTACTCTGACAGACCATTAGCCTATTAGGAGGTCTTGAATTTAAAAAAAACGTCTTAGCTATAGTGTTAAATGTGCTCACACTGTATCATTAAATTCAAAGTGTGGTTTCATGGCCCCTTTGAGTCGTTGCCAAGCAGTCAGCCGCACATTGACTTTGTTGACTTTATATACAGTCCCTCAGGGGCACAGAATTAAAGGTAGATTTTGTAGCAACAAAGATCATTTTATCTCAGTCATTGAACTTTATACTGACATCCTGAAGACCGCTACACAGACACATACATAAAAATGCTTATGTTTTTTGTTCTTATGGTTATCACCATTTTCCTTCTTCCACATGTTTTCTTACTAAAAAAAGTCTATAGTGTTTGTGGTAAAGCCATATAGTGCAAACAAAATCCATGCTTTTAGCTAAATAAGCTTAGCTATTATGAGTGAGGGAAGTGTGAGTTTTTGCTATTGGTCTATAAAGAACGATGAGGAAGATTATGTTTTGAAATAATAATGGAACTCAGTCATCTGAGCAGTTCACTCAGATTTAATAGAGTGGAATGTTCCTGTTGTGCATGTCATTAGGGGATTGATGTCATAATTTGCCCTCAGCCACCTCTGACTTTTATCTGCTACAGTTTGTCCCTTTCGTTTGACGCTATGTTGTTTTTAAAGTGTATTTAGACTTATGACACGGTAACTATAAAAGACGTAATTCACATTGTAGGCTACATATTAAAAATGATATGGGCACTAAAGTATGAGCCTGAGGTCTAGACTAAACTTCCTATAGTATTTCGCCCATTATAAGCGGTTTTCAAATTCTGTCTAAAAAAATAGTTTGGCAGATGATGAATTAAAGAGGACAATGTAAAACAGAAGTTTTTTTATTTAACTTTGTCAAATAAGCATGTAAATATCGAAAGTAGTCAAAGCGTCTAAACACTAGATGGCGCACATGTGCTTTACAGAAAGAACAGCGAAATATCGCGAGACATGTCTAATCTCGCTGTGGCTTTAATTCTCGCGGTATTTCCTCACTTCCTCCTCTTTCACTCCCTGTGTTCAACATGGCAGTCGGCAAGAATAAGAGGCTGACCAAAGGTGGCAAAAAAGGTGCCAAAAAGAAGATGTAAGTCAAAAATGAATCTCCCGACTCTGTCGTTATGCGGTTATAAGATAATCTGTAGGATATTTGATGTTTGTGGGTAAAGGATGAGATCGATATATAGAAGATTGTATGTAGCGGTCCTGCTAGTCCGACTGGTGGCCTGCGCTGTGTTGTGTGTGCTCTGTTAACTTTCTGTCAAGAGCTTGGTAGGTCCTAGTATTGTTTTTTTAATTACTAGTCCTACACGTTATATAAAATATTTATATTTAGCAAAAATTAGGATGTTAAACTGACAATGTTAACATAATGGGCCATCGAAAGCGCTAGCTAATTTTCCAAACACTACTGACCTAACGTCAGACTTGCAGTGGGACACATGTGTTGGATGCTTTAAGTTAATTTAGAGCTTTCATATTTCTAGACACCACATCCGAAGTAAATGTAAGATGATGTTAGCATTTGCTTTAGAAAAATTAGCTTGTACCTCTCCTAAAAGTATTTACACGCCTGTTTTGTCTTGTAGTGTGGATCCATTCTCCAAGAAGGACTGGTATGATGTCAAGGCACCAGCCATGTTCAATATCCGCAACCTGGGAAAGACCTTGGTCACCAGGACTCAGGGAACCAGTAAGTGCTTTTATGTTCATGGTGTCTGTGTTTCCACACTAGATTTTAGCATGAGTAGTTAGCCCCACTGGGAAAGAGCAGATCTGGCTGTACAATAAATGCCTTGCATCCCAATTGTTTGATACAAATCAATATGCGTGCCTTATTGCAGTGGGAATACATAATGACAGTAGTTTCAGCCCCAGATGAAAAACAGTTACTGTTGTGAGATCATCCTGGCATTCCCATAAAATCCATGTTCATTATAACACTACAAACCGCAGCAAATTTAACACTGTTACTGTAATCTAGGAATTGCCTCTGATGGTCTGAAAGGACGTGTTTTCGAGGTCAGCCTGGCTGATCTGCAAAACGATGAGGTTGCCTTTCGCAAGTTCAAGCTAGTCACAGAAGACGTACAGGGCAAGAACTGCCTCACCAACTTCCATGGCATGGACCTCACCCGTGACAAGATGTGCTCCATGGTCAAGAAGTGGCAGGTAAAAAGCGTACTTGCCACGCAGAAAAACTTCATTGCTGAGACACTACACTTTTCTTTTCATTTCCATTCATACGCATGCAAATGCTAAATTTACTGTAGTCCACTTCCACATTTGTATGATGGGAAGGCGTGTGACTGTTGGATGATCGATACATTCCAGCGTGACATCTTAACTGAATTAAAAGAACACGCACTTTAAAGGGATAGTTCACCCTAAAATGTAAATTAATTCATACGTTTCTCACTCTGGTGGTATTCTAATATTCTAATGCTGCCTTTTATGACCACTAAAGGATAATAAAGTCCAGCTTGTTCAAATAATAGTGACCAACCTCAAGGTTTTTTTTTTTTTTTTTTTTTTTTTTTAGATCAAAAAGTACCACAGTGATCCCATGCGGCACGTGTCGTATATTCCAAGTATTCTGGGGGTATATGATATGAAATGATAAATATGAAATTTAATGCATTAATGAAAATCCTGACCGTAGCCGTTGGTATTCAGTGCACGTTGTGAGAAATATAAAGATCAACAACTTTCTTCAAGGAGTTAAATATCTCTAGACTGGAACTCTATTCTTTCGATGAGTCAGAATGACAGTTGACAGATGTGAATGCAATTAATTTATGACTATATTTACCTCAGAAGAAGGTACATGGTAGGGCTGGGTGATCTTTTTTTTTTTCTTCAATTTGAATGTAATGTTTTACCGCGATTGTATTTTTTAAATCAAGAGATTGAGGTCTTGAATAAAAATGAAATGTACACAAACGTCACAATTAGACATGTTGACAATTCAGAAATGATAACAGTTAAGACAAGTAAATAATCCGACCACATAATGGCAAACCTGATTAACCGCTCTTGTGTGACAAAGAAAACACATCGCTAGTAGGAGTTATCCATTCTTGGATGCATCGTGACGTGGACGATTCTGAATCGAATCACAAATGTCAAAAATCGATTTTCTAAATGTTAATTGGTAACGTAATGTTGATGAAAGGCGCCTTGACAGTCTGCTGTGCGCATAACAGAGACGCGTGATGGTTGAGCGAGAAATCCAGCCGGCACCCTCTGTATTAAAATCTAGCGTAACTTTGGCTTCTATGAAGTTGAAGGGGAAAAAGGACCTGACGAGCCACACTTCATGCAAGTGGGGCTCCAGATGGGCGACAAGAGGTCGCACCACGTTGTCCAATTTATAAGAGCTGCAACTTTTACATACGAGAAACTGCAAACGAAAGTTAAACGAAACCGAGCTATTCGTTTGAAACGTTCCGCGCAGCGCAAGCTCAGAACAGGTTTACTCATAGGCCGATCTCAATCATGCGATCTCCCAGCGCTGTAGTATTATACAGTGCTGGGAGATCCAGTGAGAAAGCGTTGGAATTAACTGCAGAATTAATAACATTGCAGCGAGAAGCATTCAAGTTCGGCACAGAATGCTGTCATAAACGCATCAGATCAAACCGTGCTGACTTGGAAACCAGGACAACCTTAAAAGCTTCCACCCAACTCTGAAAAGGCAAAGCGAATTACAAACTATCGCAACATTTTTTTGCCAAATCACTTCCCAATATATTTTATTAAACAAATGGAAGTAAATTCATTATGGATCATTACAAATACTTTGCTTTAAAAGTACCAAGTAGTCACACAGTGAGAAAAAAGAATATCTGTGTAGAAAAATAGATTCATCGATAATCGTTTTATCATCGCATTGCCGCCCTCTGAATCGTAATCGAATCGTGAGGTGCCTAGAGATTCCCACCCCTAATCGCTAGTCTCAAGCGGCTGTTCACTCAGAAATGCGTTGTTGTGTTGGAAAAAAAAGAGACATGGGCAGTAGAATGTGGAAAAAAGCAAAGCTATTAGAAGTGAGTTGAACTTTTTTTTTTTTTTTTGACTTGAGCTCCACTTTTTTTAGTATGCCGTTTCATGTGAGACGCTTCAAAAGACACGACATGTCTGTCAAACATAAAAACAATAGGAAAAATAGTGCAATGTAATGCAAAAACCTGTAAAGAACTACTACTGTATGTTTGATATTTCACGTTTGCATGATGGTGACAGGCTCAACGGTGCTGTTATTTTCTGTACCCCTTTGGTATTGTGGTGTTCTAAGATCTTGATGCAAGTTCCTTTATATTACATCTTTAGTTTTTGGGATTAAGTACTTGTCTAATTGGAAAAAGTTCTGTGTACTGCAGCTATTTTTGAATTTTTGTGCAGGCCATTTTAAAATGCTGATTGGTTCTTTCCCATTAGACAATGATTGAGGCCCATGTTGATGTGAAGACCACCGATGGCTATCTTCTCCGCCTGTTCTGCGTGGGCTTCACCAAGAAGCGCACCAACCAGATCAGAAAGACCTCCTACGCTCAGCACCAGCAGGTCCGTCAGATCCGCAAGAAGATGATGGAAATTATGACTCGTGAGGTCCAGACCAATGACCTCAAGGAGGTGGTCAACAAACTGTACGTATAAAGTTTTCCATCTCTTTTATGGCATTACAATTTTGTGTTAGACAGGGGAGTCAGGCCCTGCTCCTGGAGGCCCATCTTCCTGTGTAATTCAACTGCAGCCCTTATTTAACGCTTATACTGAAGACCTTAATTCGCTGGTTCAATAAGTGGGAGATTTACTCTGGTTCAAATACTTGATTAACAATTTTATTGGTTGTGGTCAAATGATTTCTTAATGTTTTTCAGTTGTGATTTGTGACCTTTTTTTTTATTTTATATTTTGGAACTTACAAGATGACAAGTATCTTTAGCATAACTTTTGAGTGCTGAGGTCATGGATATTAAGTAGGGGGTGGAGTAACTCTCTTTACCTGGGTTTAAACCTGAAAGCTGTGTTGGCTGTCATGATCTATAACTGTTAAGGAGCTGTGTGTAAGTAATGGTTCTCTCTTCTATTGTTGCGCAGGATTCCTGACAGTGTAGGCAAGGACATTGAAAAGGCCTGCCAATCCATCTACCCTCTACATGACGTCTATGTCAGGAAGGTTAAGATGCTGAAAAAGCCCAAGTTTGAGCGTAAGTGAAGATGAACAACTTAATTTGGACACTTATGCTCATGACTGACACTTAAATGTAGTTGTCTGATGTTGTAGCGCAACTTGATGGTTAGGGTTCCATGCATTGATGCTTTTAAGAGCAATATTTGGTTAATTCTATGGTTGTTGGACATGACAAAAGTTGTTTTAATTACATGAAACTTTCCCTCCTAAACTGACCAAATTAATTTAGCATAAATCTTCCAATCTTTGGACTTTGTACAAAATATCCACTTGTGAATGTAGTATGAGTGGGTTAATGTATTTATTATTGTACAGTTGGCAAGCTGATGGAGCTGCACGGTGAGGGTGGAACCAGCAGTACTGCTGCTAAACCAGCAGAGGGTGACACTGGGGCCAAGGTGGAGAGAGCCGACGGATATGAGCCCCCAATCCAGGAGTCTGTCTAAAACTTCCAACACAAGCAGCTGGTGTCAATAAACATGTAAATTTGACTGAGTACTGTTTTCTTTTGTTTCTTTTTTTTTTCAGTTACAGTAGATATCACATCAAACCTGCTGAACATCATGGTCTTTTATGTCCAATTAGAAATATCACAATCTATTTTGACATGCTAGAATTGGTGCCATATTTGGTGGAATTGGTATAGTAAAAGTTGCATATTAAATATAAAAGGGGAATCTATTAAACTGTCAAATGAGGCTTTACTGAGCTCAACAGCTTTAGCTGAACTGTAATATATAAGCAAAATGCTATTGGCTATTTAAAAAAGGGGAGAGCTGTTGATATGTCCCATCCTTAGTGAAAGTTACGTCAATGTATTGAATAATGCTGCATGTTTCAAGGCACTTCAGTGGGCCTTTAAGTATACAACCATGTTGAATTTCAGACCCTAAAAATGCAAGCCCTGAAAATTCTAGAACTGGTAATGCAATGGATTTTTTTTTTCCTTTTTTTCAATTAGGGCAATTAATTGCTTTTTTGTTTCAAATACACTTGTCATTATTTTCCTCCCATAGATATAAAAAATGTGCTGTGCTGGAAAACCTCTGCACTAATGATGTGCTGTAATACTAATTCAAAATCATTATCCTAACCTTTATCTTTAAAGCGAAATCTCAGCTGGCCAAACAGAGATTATTTTATATATATATATATACACATACAGTGCCAAACTGAATCATTGTGTATATACATTGATTCATTTATTAAATATTGGTGTCTGGGACGCAGTATTCACAATTTCAGTGGATAGCCCTGTTAGAAATTTGCATAGATAAAAATCCTACAGAAACAGCTGATTTTTATTTAGGGTTGATCATCACTCAAATGATGACCAAAGGATTATAGTTACTTGTCAGTAAGAGTTTGAAGGTGATCGATTACAAACAATTCCGAGCAGAGTAGCATGACCCATTGTAAAAGGCTCTGTCACGAAAGACCATTTTTCACATGTTTATTATGTGCCATATAAATCTGGGGAACATAGGACCCTGGAAATATACTGAAGACATCCTTTCGTGAGCACACTTATGCAACCAAGTTTTTTTTTTTTTTTTTTTTTTTATAATTGTTTTCCCCCTTAAAAGTTACCATTTGTTTGTTAATGAATTTAGTTGGTTAGATCTGGGCCCATATTCATTAAGAATCTAAATATAAAGAGTAGCTCCTAGTGGCAAAATTCTAAGAAAATTCTTGTGGGCGTTTACTCTTAAAATTAAAGAAAAAATCCTAGTAAAAAAGAAAAGTAATTCAGAAAGCATCTTAACCCTTAAAAGAGGTCTTAAAGTCACGGGTGAGGACTTTTAAGAGGCTTAAGAGTTTCTTTAGCAGAGGAGAAAATGGCAGAAAGACAAAGAGGGAGAAGAAATGTGTTGCAGACAATGGATGACAGTGAGTTAATAAGACCCTATAGATTGACACCCGGCCCGAATTTTCCCTCTGGGGTCCTTCGGCCCAAATGGACCCGAAGCATTTAAAAAAAAAAAAAAAATTTTTTAAATCATAGCTTTATCGGAATGGTCCGAAATTTGGTGACTTTGTTGGTACTTGGTATATGAACACCCCAAAAAATTGGGGACAGGATTTGAATAGTCTAAGTGGTTGTAAAAAAAATAGTCACACTCAGGACCTTCGGGTCCGCATAGGAAATGAATGGGAAAATGGCAAAAATGTGAAAATACAGAGTTATTTTGTGCGTACAATCTACAAATCAGCCACGATCCAGAAAAAAGCACACAACAGTGAAGGGGTGAATCTATAAAACATCAAGAGTGCAAAACAGACACATCCACACACACACACACAAACACACTTTTATACACATACACACTAATAAATTCAGATTACATATGGGTGTTGAATTTTTAAAATGCTCAGTTTGTCCACCAGATGGCATCCATCTCATTTCAAAAATTGCTTTCATGAGGCCTAGGCTTGACTCTAAAATGAAATACAGCTTTAAAAAAAAAAGAAGAATTTTTTTGTCCTTCTTGGTTTTGATTCCATGTTTGTTACATTAAAACCAACATTCAAACATGCCAGCAATCAGTGTAATTGGAAAGAGTGGAACAATTTTTACAATCAAATACCTTATAGGAAATTAACAGCATGGTAAATAAAAAAAAGGATTTATACATATAATGTGTGTGTGAGAACGGTCAAATAGGAAAAATTACACATGTAATTTCAAAGTGAAGGCTTAGAATAGACCCTATACTTAATATCACTCTTTCTTTCCCTCTTGGACAACCAACCAATCACAGTCTTCAAAAGATTGTGTCATACATAGCAACGGGGTCAACCCCGCCTCCTCACTAAGATGAAAGTTTTTGTCTTTTCCTTACTCAGAGAGAGTTGCTCTCAGATCGGTCCCGAATCGCTCTTAAGCTAAGACTCCTACATGAAAGTTTTTAAGCTAAATTATGAGTTTTCGGAGAGGATTCTTAGAATCTTTATGAATACGGGCCCTGACATTTTACTTGGATGGATTTTTTCTAAAAAAGCTGTAACAGGGGAGTGTAGACTTTTTATAACCACTGTCACTACACTCTTCTAGCAATTATTCGCAGAATAATTTAATACATAGTCAAAATATAACAAACATGTTAACAATTGGATTTTAAAACTATTTGTCAGATTTTAAATGTGGTCTCAAAAATTCAGAGAAGTCTGGTACTTTGAGTCTGGAAAATGTCCAGGAACCCTGAACTTTACAGTGAATAATCTGCTCTTTCTAATGTCAATTACACATGACAGAAGACAGAACTGGTGAAATACTCTACGGTTCGCAACCTTTTTGACTCAGAGGTACCTGGTTGTCCACCACAATATTTGAAGTTAGATTATTTTTAATATTATAATAATCTTATCACTTTAAATACTTTAGTAATCCTGGAAGTTTGCCTTTGTCCCCTGGTTGAGAACCACTGCTCTATTCGCCAAGAAAATGTGTCAGTCAGTGTGGACACAAGATGGCACTGGACATTTGTCTCTAGTGTTTAAAAATGACACGTAATATTTCTTAATATAAAAAACTATTAATACTGTATAAAGAAAAGTAAGCAGAAATACAGTACAGATCGGACAAGTAACACCATAGCAGTTCATTAATATATTTTTAGGATACAATGGATTTAGAATATTAACATTTATAAATACATTAGACAAAATCACAATTAAAATAAACTGGAAACAAGTCGCACAAAAAAAGTTCTTCTGAGGCTGCATCTGATGAATCATTCTTTTACCACTTCCTCCTACCTGCACAGAAAGGAAAAAGACAAAATATTTTAAAAAAAGCTTATTCTGATTTTTTTTTTTTTTTTTTAAGTATATTTCCTGCTCCTGTCCACTTACCTGTAACAACCTCTACAAAGGCTTTGGGGAAGAAGCCTTCTCTGCCATTCATCCTTCCACTCCACCATTCATCATCTATGTGATCCGTGACCAGGATCCTGTCTCCCTGCTGGAAGGGCAGGTCCCCCTCTGTCTCCGCTGTGAAGTCATACAGTGCCACAGCCCACTCTCCAGCCTATAGAGATACATCAGACATCTCACAGATGCAACACTTCATATTAGAGGTCTTCACGGGTCCACTTTTGTCTGAAAACCCGAGGAACGACCCGAGCTGGTTCGGGTTCAAAACGCTGATGAGTGCCTCAGACACCAGTGAGGTCTGATATTAGTAGCCTCGGGTCTTGGGTAATTTTAAATAAATATGCTTTTAAAAAAGTGGACCTGTATTAAAAATATTATTTTAATTGTTTAGTTATTAAACAATATTTTATTACTTGAAAGAAATACATATTCTATGACAACTTTATTATCCCACTTTCTCTATCCGTACTCTGCAATAGAGAATGTGAAGATGCATCACATCGTGTTGCATGCTGGGACGGCGGCGCCATCTTGTGAGGATCACTCACTGCTACTAATACTGAAATTGATACTGATACCTGCTTATCTTTTGTTTTGTTTGTTTAAATTGTTGAAATATAGTGGGAGAAAGAATGATATGGAGATGATATCGCATTAATAACAGAAAACATTTGCTATGATCTTGGACCTTTGAAAAAGTGTAGGTTTTTTATTTGCAGTGGGCAGATGTTTAGTATTAGGTTATGTTGAGTAGAAATCAATAAAAACATGATTTTAAAGGTTAGTCATATGCACATAAAATAATCCTTTAGGAACAATAGCAGAAAAACAGCAGGATCCTCATTCATAACAATATGGCGCATGAACAAAACAGTTACCCAAAATTCAACATGGCGTGATGTCAACTTTACATTCTCTATACCGAGGCTTTCGAGAGAAAGAAATCTGGGATTTGCTCATTCATATTAACATTAATATAAATGTTCATGTCATTTGAAATGCAATATAAAGCTTATGAGTGGTTTGTCATGTTTGTACTCAAACACAACAATTGTGAAAATCCACGGAAAACACATTGACATTCACAAAGTAGTATCTGGCAACATGGCTTAACAGTGTACTGTCGTGGCCAAAAGTACTGGCAGTGATATAAATGTTGTGTTTCGCAAAGTTAACTGCTTCAGTTACAATTCACATTGTTTCCAGATTATTGTGCAGAGTGATCAGATGCATTTTAAATAATTGCAAAAAGCTTAATTGGCCAAAAAAAAGAAAATAAAGAAAATTGCCCTCTCTCACAATTCTACCCAAAAGCACTGCCATGAATAAAGAATGGTATCAAACGTCCTACAAAAGCAACTTTTCCCAACGATCCAAGAGCAGTTTGGTGATGGTCCGTGCATTTTCCAGCATGATGGAGCACTGTCACAAGGCAAAAGTGATAATGAAGTGGATCGGAGATCATTAAATTAAAATTTTGGATACGTGGCCAGGCAATTCCCCGGATCTTAATCATCCCATAGAGAAGCTGTGGTCAGTCCTCAAAAGGCGAGTGGACAAGCAGAAGACCACAAATTGTGAATGTTTCGCCATTGGCCCAGAAGCTGATATCCTCCATGCCAGAGCGAATTGCAGAGGTTATGAAGAAAAAGGGCTCAGCACTGTAAATATTGACACTTTGCATGTATTGAATGTTTTTGCCAATAAAAGCCTTTAAAACTTATGAAATGCTTATCATTGTTTTTCAGCATTCAAAAGAAACATATAATGAAGCAGCAAACTTTGCAAAATGTATGTCACTAGCAAAACTTTTGGCCATTCTGTAGCTAACATAAATGTTACGAAGAAGGATTAGAGAGTGAATTTCATCTACAAATAAAGTAGGAAGATTGGGCATCATTTTTAAATCTATACCTGCTGTGGTGTTTCTTATTTGCCATCAGGCCGGGTCGGACATGAGTCTAATTTTATCGGGTCTGTCTTGTCCTTTCTTTCTTCTTCTAATTCATTCATGCACGTCAGCTTTGGGTAAGAAGTGTTCAAGTAGGGTTCGAGTACAGATCTTAGGACCAAAGAAGACCTTTACTTCATATTATGAAAAAATGTGAAGCGAATGTTGGATGTAGAAGTGTTTGTTAAAAAAAAAAAAAAAAGTACACAAAAATAAGGTCATTTTTTTGCCATTTTTGTTTTCTCTGTTTTTGTTTTCCCTTTGAATTAAGTTTATTTTTCCAACCCCATTGGCAGATTTTTTGTAAATTTTGCTTCTCAAGTAAATGTATCTTGATCCAAGTAATGGAAAACAAGACACAAATACTGAGAAAGAAAATCAGTTTTTGCAGTGAGGGTAACGGATTATCGTAAAACTAAAAATATAGGATGGGGACTTGGTTCCATGTATTAGTTGATTGGATTTTAAGATGCGGGTGTTGCACTCAAAAGTGCCAGGGTTGCATAAGTCACCGGAAAGTCCAGTTATGAGGTTTTAATTAAAAATTGCGAGTTTTGAAATGAAACATGCATAGATTAATTTTCACAATACGATCTATAATAGTTCATTTTCATTTCATCCCAACTTTAAGTGCCATTCACTACTACAGAAAAGAGATAATGTGACAGATGGGGGAATGTTACCTCACTGGCATTGTAAGACATTTGTGCTTTAAACGAACCAGCCTTTCCTGAGAAATAAAACACAACACAATATATTAGATCTACAGCCCAGAACAGAATATTATGTAACCAAACACATGCAATAATAGTACAATTCATTACGAAATGCTGTGCACTTTTAAATGTACCGGTACACTAAAGATTGTCCCAAGTCCTTAAAATCTCTTCTAGCCCAATTCAGCCAAATATTTCAATTCACTTTGTTAACTCGACTGACTTCTTAAAGAGCCTGCACTAAAATCTATTTTACGAATGAATGTGACTTTATTGCTATACAGTAGATGGCTGTAAATTTTCACCATGAGCCAGAGAGAAGAGGAGCAGCTGTCCTCGAGAGGTGAATCTCCCTGTACACTGCAGTGTAATGAATAATATGGAGGTCACAGTTTCATACAGCCCTTAATGATACACAAACAGAAGGGCGAATTCTTGAGATTCCCGCCATTGGGAGAACGTTCCACTCATTGAGTCAATGAGACACTGATGCTGATTCTGATCTACTGGTGTTATATGTAGATTAGCAATCTACAAATGTGCTGCTGTTTTATGAAACTGGAGTGGCAAAGTTCAGAGCATTTCAGAATTCCATCATTTGGGTTTACAGTATTATACAGTATGAGTGTATGTGCTTCAGTGCTTGAGTGTTCAAAATGTTTAAACATTAAATGAAATGTGCATAATTTATGGATATATTGTTTGGGGTCTTACCAGGCAGCGCAAACTTATTTTGAGCTGGTTTCTGCACTGTGGCTGGAGGAAGATCCTCAAGCACTTCCACATAGTTGAGAGGGAAAATGCCAACATGGCCATTCACTTCCCCACGAGCCCACTCCTCTCCCACATATTCTTTGAGCCAAATCATATCACCTTCAGAAAATGAGAGCTCATCGCTCCGCTCTCCGTCAAAGTCAAACCTTGCAACACACCTTGGGCCTCTGAGGAAAACACAGGGACATACAATATGACTTGAGTATTTTGAAGGTAATCATATTAATTATCTACTTGTGTTTGTCAATCTAACATAGCAAAAGATCTGAGTTTAAAATGAAATCTGTTCATTTATTTTGTGATTGGGCTTTCACAATCGAATCCTGTGAGAATGACTTACCTGACAGGCTCAGGAGATGGTTTGGTTTTCCACTCACTTCTGGGTGCTGGTGCAGATGTATCAGGCTTGTTCTGGAAAACAAGATTATTGGTACTGGAAGATACGAATCACTTTTATCAGTCCTACACAAACAAATTGTAAACACAATAGGACCTTTTTTTCTCAACAAATGGTCAGCTAGAGGAGGTGCTTAATCTTAATTGATAAAATCTTGACCGTCAATCTTAGGAAGAAGAAAAATAATAATATACAAACTGTTTCTGATACTTTTTACAACCCTAAATTTGGTATAAATAAAATTAAATGACATTTGTGTGATTTTGTAATATTGTAGCTTTAAACATTAAAAAAATATATCAACTAATTAGAAATAAATAAATGAATTGTGTGATAAAATATATGTGTGTGTGTGTCTGTATACTGTAGAATAAATAACAAGATTGTCAGTTTAGCCTAAATGAAGATAACACTCAGTAGGGACTAGTTAATTTCAAACAAAATATTGGTTTAAGTTTACTAAATTGATTAAAAAAGAAAATGTTATCAGATTATATAAACTTGCTGTAGAAAGGGTCCAAATAATATCATTATTCAATATTCAATTCAATATTTTTTTTAATGTTTTAAATCTACTACATGGGATTTGTTCCACTAATGCTTTAAAATAAGTCTCAGGACATCATCTACTGTACTAAAATTCCTTATACAATATTTACCAGTGTCTTGACGTAGTTAATGGGGAAGAACCCAGACACATTTCTGCATGTTCCCGTGTACCAGTCACTGTCCAACTGTTCTACATTAGAAACCACATCTCCAGCCTTTAAAGCCAGCTCTCCCGGCCCCTCTGAAACACAAACACATAACCATGTATGATTATATTATGAGCTGCTTCACAACTGCGATTTAAAAAAAGATGTGTCTAATGAAGGATTTCACAGAAACAAAATTAAACAGCACTGTATGTGGTGATTATACTTAGCAAAAAAGCACTATGCATAAATATGCTTGCTTGGAAAATAGACCTTTGTTTTCTTACACAGAACAGAACTGTCTCACCTGGAGTGAAGTCATACAGGGCTTGCACTTGTGATCCAGTATTTTCCACCATGCCACTAAAATAACTATTTTTCTGTAGAAACACATTGAGAGCCAAGATAGTATGCTGACATTACAAGACAGGATAGTAAACTAAAATTATTTCAGGGATAATACGCTTACTTACTATTACAACCAATATTAAACACTGATTCAACTATTGATTACCTGTGGTACTGAATTGTTGGGTAAATCTGTTAAGGGTGTGATAATCTTCATATGTGTTTTCTGCACTGTGCCCTTAGCGTTTCCTACTTGGCATTCAAAGTTTTTGCTGTCTAATTCTTCAAGTAAGACGAGGACTTCATTTTTCTGTAGGGAATAAAGAATAGAAACAACATTTCTAACATTTCTAACAACTGAAACTCACTGACAGAACAACACAAAAACCATCAGTAACTTAAGAAGACAGCACTATGGGGATAATGTGAATGTATTGACTTTGAGGTCACCTGAAAGGAGAGCTCCCCAGTGTTAGTGCCATTGTAGTCAAAGTCAGCAATGCCGTGGGGGATCTCAAGCTGTGTAAAGAGTGCAGAATTGAATATTTTTTTTCAGTTCTTCTGTAATATCATTAAAGCTTTTTTGATAAAAAAAAAATAATAATATATATATATATATATATATATTAATGAGAGTGCAAAAAGAATCCATCTTCCAAACCATGACTTTACTTTACCCAGATACACTTTGATAAAAATAAAATAAAAAATCATATTTTAAAGCAGTCGGGACAAATTCCATATACCGGTAAGTCATTCACCTATGTAATAAAACCTGAACCAACATTGCCTTGGCTTTTCAGAGGTGGCAAGAACTCTGAGATTTGAAGATCAAAAGCAACCCAGCGATGCTTTTTTTTACTCAACAGGTAAGATTTTTTACTGAACTGATACCATGTTAGTAGCATACTCTTAGTAGCATGAGCTCATTATAACGTTTGACCACATCATACTAGCAATCAATATGTCTACTGTTAAAGGAACACGACGACTTTTTGGGACTTTAGCTTATTATATCCCCCAGAGTTAGATAAGTCCAAACATACCCTTTTCATCTCCGTGCGTGCTGTAACTCTGTCTGACCGCTAGCCTAGCCTACACTGTTAGACTTTGCCGTAATTTTACAGTTACTTACCGCAAAAAAGCCCAGTAAAATACCATTTATATTATTTACGGTTAACTACTGTAATATGCACTGCATTGTGGGTATTTTTAATGAAATTTACAGTAACTTACTGTATATGGGTATTTGCAGTACTTTACTGTTAATGCAAAAGCAGTAGTGCTACTGTAAATGCATCTCTGCATTATATATGAATGGGCATATAAGCACTGTACAATTAAGGTGTAATCATTGCCTTATAATTCATGGGATGACTGCACTTTTGTTCATTGTGTACACAACTTGTATTACTTATAGGCAGGGCTCAACATAAAAAAAAATCCCCACTGGCCCCCGGGGCCAGTAGATCAGAGTTTTGCTGGCCCCTTCTATATTTTGACTGGCCCTGAAAGAAATAAACTGTATTTATTGTATACATTAGGATTAATCAAAACAGCGAAGGGAGTTCAGGAATTAAGAGAGAGCCCCTGGACACATGCAAAAATAACCAAATGTCAGTGTGCAGTAAATTTGTCAATACCTGCTTTCTCCTCATCTCCCTCTCTCTTTTTTTCTCAGTCTCCTCATCTTACTTATTAAAGCTAAAGTTATTCATTCAAGAGAGCTGCGAGTGATTTTCTTTGTGCCTTTTGTTGTTTGATTCTCAGTAATGGCGTGATCGTCAGCATGTTTATTAGACTGCTTCCCCTTTAAGAACGAGTGCAGATCTAATAGTCTACTGATGCACCATATTTTCTCCCAACTATTTCCATAACTGCGTCCATTTTAGACATAAACTGTTTAAGTGAATCTCCAAGCCAGTCATTTTGACACATTTTTGTGTACATTTGATCGTTTAGACCCGCACATGAAGCCCAAAGTATAATTTGCTTGTCCCGTTACGGTATGTTTCGGAGCGCGCGCTGCATTGGGAACCGCATCTCTTGCGCAGATTTTTGTGCTTTTAATAGCTCTTTTTATTATTAAACGCGTCCCGCAATTTAGCAACAGACGAGACTGCATTTTACAACAATCACCGATCGTGCTGATTCTGTCTTAAAGTTTGAGTTTTAAGGAGAAATGACAGTGTACTGCTGCGAAGGGAAGGAAGTTGCGCTAGACAGAATGCAGTTTTTAATGGTTTTACCTCAAATATATTCTATAATCTTTGGAAGCCGAAATCTAAAATAAAATCATACTAATATCACAGATCTAAAGTGTAACCATAACTTGAATGTTTAGTTCTGTCCTCCGTCAGGTGTTGTGCGTGTTGTCCCAGCTAACAATTTTTGGTTCCCAGAACGTTCTCAGAACGTTAGATTTTGGTTCCCAGAACGTTCTCTGAACGTTATTTTTTGGTTCTCAGAACGTTATTTTTTATAGTTTGTTTTTGGTTAGCCAGGAAAGTTTTCTTAACGTTCTCAGAACGTTAGTTTTTGGTTCCCAGAACGTTCTCATAACGTTAGTTTTTGGTTCTCAGAAAGTTAGTTTTTGGTTCCCAGACCGTTAGTTTTTGGTTACCAGAACGTTATCAGAACGTTAGTTTTTAGTTCCCAGAACGTTAGTTTTTAGTTCCCAGAACGTTAGTTTTTGGTTCCCAGAACGTTAGCTTTTAGTTCCCAGAACGTTCTCAGAACGTTAGTTTTTGGTTCCCAGAACATGGTTTGTTTTTAGTTAGCCCGTAAAGTTCTCTTTACGTTCAACAACAATTCATCTTTTTTTTTTACTTAAATAAAATACAACAGTAAATCTCTATAAATAATCAACCTATACAGTCCATGTTTTTGTCGATTCATTGTTTAATTGTTGATTAAACACACACACACACACACACACACACACACACAAAACCACAATCATATAGGCTATGCATCACATTTAACACATGCGCAAAAGGCGAAACGAAAACAAAGTAACTACGAAAACATTTTTATTAGTAGTCTAATTGTAGATCATGCACTTGAAAGCCTCTTCCATCTTCACCACAGTCATCTGCAAATATAACAAATAGTAACATTATTATATAATGTTTCTCATGGGATCGTACAGTATTTTCAACATTTACGGGGGTTAGTTGGTGATTTTATATATATCTATCTATATTTGACATTCATAATCAATGCTTTTGTCGGTTCTTTGTGACCGCTTTTAGGTGCTTTATCGGCAGCGCCGCCGCCACCCTTACTTACATGTTACATGAACGCGTCACCACCGCACCAAAAACATGATTGCGTGATTAAAACATGAAAAATACCACCTAAACATAGCCTAACTGTTTAGAAAGAAAACACAGAACGATTAGCCTAATGCGCATACATCCATCTCGTGAATGTATAGTCTTCTTCATGCCATTGCCATCTTCATCCATTAGCCGCTTTTCCACTGGCCAGCGCGAGCACAGAGGCCGAAATCATGCCTCACAGCACTCCTGTAAAAAATAAATCGCAATACATATATATCAGACGCTGCCATTTAGTCTTTATTTACAAACTTGGACACCACACGCGGCTACTGACTGACCACGAACAGGTAACTTAACCTACTTGCATTTTTCATTCGTTAATGTCTCGCGGTCTTGCTGTTTTTTTGTTTGTTATACAATTAAAACTAAAAGTCTGTTGTAACGCAAGCCTTACTGAACATGTAACGAGTAAAATATTACTGAAAATTGATTAGTAATGCTGTGTCACTACTGTGTTACAGCAAAAAGTAATATGTTACTCTAATGTATTACCTTTGTAACGCGTTACTCCCAACACTGTTCATAGCGTCTTCGAGATGATGATCAGGACAAAAACTCCTCTGCTGTGCGGGCATCAACATTGAAGGATCTAGGAACACAACAAACCATTTGTCACAGAGCCTGAGCCAACAATATTATTATACAATGCCAGGTTTATTAAAAGGAAAAAGCTACAGCAGAGGGGAAATGCAGAAAAGAGAAAGAATATACAGAAAATAATTTCTTAATTAGGATAACAGAATTTATTTTTAGGTTTGCTTATTCATTTAGTATTGCTCATACAGTGTCACTTGTTTGGATGTCAAAACCTTAAAATAAATTATACACTTTAAAAATGTAAATTTGATCAATTAAAAAAAAATAAGAAAATGACATGAGTGGTGATATAGATAAAATATTGTGACAAAATGGAAGTTATTTAACGAGCTTCCTCGGTTCACCTGTGTTTCCTACATCTCTGGCAGCAGCTTTCTTCAGAAATGTTGAAGCCGTGGAGCTTCCACTCTGTTTTAGAGGTGTTATTTTGTTGCTGCTGAAATCACAGAATTTTTTTTTATCAATATTTGTTTACCACTGAGCAGCTAGTTTCAGCCAATGTTCAAGCTCCATGTAAGTGACGTCACCGATTAACAGTAGGCTACATACCTTTGTTTACATTTATGTTAAATAAATTAGCTCACTTCCAAGTAAAACCTTTACAAAAACTCTCATCTACACATAAGAGATTATTAAAAGCCCAAACTTTCATAAACAAAAGCTCAACCGAGTTAATGTTAGCTTAACGATAGCTGCTAACTTACCTCTTCTGAAAACGGTTTAGATGCTAACGGACTTTTTCCGAAGACACTAAACCATGTGTATAAAGTAAATATTCAACAAAAGTGTGTCAATTACAAGTAAGAGAAGTGTCAAGAACAGTTGTGTGTATTATTTGTGTGATTTTAGAGACTAATCTCACCTGAAAGCAGTGAAAACAACAGCGAGAGAGGGAGTTTTGCTGCTTGTCAGTCGCAGTAGTCCCGCGTCGTTTCCATGGCAACTCTGCGCCGCTCCAATGTTTGCGACTCGAAAGTTCACGCGCACGGCCATTGATTAAAGCACGTCAAAAGCATGCATGATTGCAGCATTTACAAATATAAATATCTAGAATTAGAACATTACTTTAAAAAAATCTCATAAATATTAAATTATGAATTTTAAACTAATTTTGGAGATCTATGGCCCGTTCTATAATAGTTTAACAAATATGAAACTAAATGTAGCCATTAAATAAGCACATTTAGTTTCATATTTGTTGAACTAATATTTTTTTTTTTTTCCCCATCTGATGATTATGAAAATTGAACAACATGAGTTGAGCAATATATCGGGAGACATGATGGGTCAGACATGATTTTGACCACTTCATTAAGTTTTGTTTTGTGGAAAGCCTTTCTTTAAAGTGAATTTCGTTTTGTATAAATTTTATCTTAATTTTAATCAAATTTCCATCAACCAATTGCTATAATAAATAAGAATCAAACATATAGCAGACATGACATGGAGGCGCGGCGCGATTGCATTGCGTGAACTGGAGAGCAAATCTTATCATAAATTAATTAACCGAAACTCAGGTATGCCTCACAGACATGAGGAACTATAGAATGCTTGAAATGTCTTTTAAACAAAACAATT